ATGATTCCTCGCCAGTTCTTGCAGAGTGAGTCCTAAGTCGCCCTTCTTTGGTAGTTCCACGCCGTAACCTTTCCTCCAGTCAGTAGGCACCTTTCCCTCCTTCCAGACCTTTTGCAATAAAGGAGTCAGGATACATGTGCTGTCGTCTCTGGGTCCGCTTGTAGTGTTTCGGGAGGTATTCCATCTGGTCCGGCTGCTTTTCCAGCTTTCAGAAGCTTGATTGCGTTCAAGACTTCAGCTCTCGTTGGAGGATTGGTGTCAACTTGCAGTTGTGTGCGCGCTGTTGTTGGTATTTCTGGACGGGTTGCAGGTGATGGTCGGTTCAAGAGTCCTTTGAAGTGATCCGCCCATTGTTTAATCTGTTTTTCTTCCTTGGTAATGGGTTCCCTTGGCTGTCTTTTATAGGTTTCGCTTGTGTTGATCTCTTCCCGGATAGAGATTTGGTTATCTGATATAGTGTCCTCAGCATATGCAGTGTATAATTTCAGAAATACTGTTTTGTCTCTTTCTATGCATACCAGGTTGTTGTAAAAAATAGCCTTTTGAGAAGACCCTTATCTGGAAGCACATTCACAAAATCTTCAAAAATCTCTAAACTTCTTATCACTGGTAGTAAAACTGCAAACATTTTTCAGATTTGTTATTCTTAATTTTGACAGAAAAGAAATTTACTTGGGAAGGACCATGTTTGAAAAAAACCCAGAATGTTGTGAAAGGCAGTGTGTATACATTAGCTTCAATTTGTCTCTATAGATTGAGAAACTAAACGCCTATCTAAGATTTGTTAGGCAGCACATATTCAGAGTTGTAAAACTTCCTGAATTCAGCCAAAATGCAATAATGTTTCGAAAGAAGAATGTGTGACTACGACACAATTAACCGACAATTATTATAATCGTTATCACATATGTGGCGAGGATTCTCTTAGCACTTAGCGCCAATCAGATATCAACGTCTAAAATAGCTGGATTAGTTAAATACACCATCTAACTTTACATAAATAGAGATGCTAAAACTTCTCTACTCTGGAACATACTGTTGGTGGAAGTTTCTAGTGACGATGGAAAATAATATTGTTCCGTCAAGTAATCCTACCGTGCATCTTGTTGATGTTCCCATGTGATAATTCATCTCGTTTCAGCTCAGAAACGTAAGTCGTATTTCACTTTTCCATTTCCTTCCATGCCAGTAATTCAAAGAATTTCATTTTATAACAGAAGGCATTTAGAACTTCCTTATTCGAACCGCTCTATATTCTGTGGTAATGTGCTCAAAATAAGGTTTGTTTACTATAAGCTGCTTAAAGGTCCACTTTAATATAGACGCCTTAATATTTTATTAACATTATGTATGGTGTATAGCTTTGTTTGGTTTCCTTAGCCGGCTCAACCTCGCCTAGTGTGCTAGTTCAATAGCCTACTACCAGGTACTACCTCAGCTTCACTGGCATAGGTCGTGAAGTAATTTGGAGTGTCACAAAACCTTTTCCAAATTCATTCAGCTACTTTATGACGTAACCAAATGTCAAACGGCTCACAGTCGCAAAGTGAGTAAAGCTTTTGAAGTGAAGATGTGAGTAAAACTAGATTGTCTACTATCATCAACGATACTCGTAATTGTGGTACAGTGGATCGTGCAGTGGACTGTGAGGAACAAGATAAGAGAAAATAGCCTGGTCGATAAGAACACTAAAGAAAATTTGCATTTTGCAGATGATTTCTGTCTAATGTCCTAGAAACCCGAACCAACAATTTGGCAGCAGAAGCAGAGAAGACGTGACTCCTGGTAAACACAGAGTACACAGAGGTAATTAAGATACCTAACTGATAACAAAAACCACCAACTACCATCAGTGACAGAAACCTAAAGGAAGTCCCTCTTTTCACTAACCTAGGCGGCGTTGCTTCCATCAGGGCCGGCAGGGATATAGATGTCAACAGAAGGATTGAAAAAGCGAGACAGGCCTTCACAAATACGCTACACTCCGCGGAAAGAACAAGGTTCAGGCTTTCACCACCAATGTGAGATCAGTGCTTATATATGTATATATATGTATATACGGTTCAGAGACTTGGTGCAGACGTTATCAAAAGGATTTCCAAAGTCTTATACGGACTCTTGTCAATACTTGCCATCGCCCCACAACGAAGACCGTATGGTAAGCCAGAAAAGATTAGCAACAAGGTAAATTGTCAATGAACTGATCGGGAACTTAATGTTCAACAAATATTCCCGGGGAAGATGGAAATGCATTGAACCTACGCTGAGAAGACCCTCGGTTGACGTCGCACAATTCACTAGTCGTTTCCTGTAAAAAAATTTCAATTTATTTCTTTTATTTTAAACTTTGAATTTTACTTTTAGTTTGCTTTAACTTAATTAACTAATTCTCATACGTTCTTTTTGTACATTTTCACGCCCTATTCACACATGTTAAATTGACACTCAACTACCACCTTTATTCTCTCTCACTCAATAGCAATTTTAACCTTATCAAATTTCTTACTTTGTGCCGTTGAGAACCGCGTAATCTACAGCTCTTATGTTTTACTTCTAAGAGAATATAATTTTAAGCCAGAAATGTGCTCAAATGGTTTTACGGCACACATGCCAAACGAAATAGAAATGAATGTATAACATTATTCGCTTTGAATCAGTTGAGTTTTATGTTTGCTTGATTGCTTGTTTGTGCTCACCAAATCTTAAAAGAAATATTTTTGTCAAGTTTAGACAGTTGATCAGGTGATACAAGAATGATCTAATATAGAAACAAGGCTAATCAAACAGCAACTAAAGTAACATGGAGTTAGTAAGTTAGATGACGTAATATAACTGACTAAAATCTTTCAACTTAGGTCAGGGTAGCGACAGAGGTAATTACAAGTAGAGACTAAGTAGAAGTGGGGTAGAGAATAATGGCATTTAAATTAGAACTAAAATTGAGCGAATAAGTTGGATGACGTAACATAAATGACTAGAAATTGGGCGTTGGTCAAGTCAGTAACAGTTGTAGTGAGGTGTAGAAATTAAATCGGGTAGGGGTCGAGAACAAGAAAGTTGAAAATGCAAAATATTATAATTTAGACGACAAAATAATACTGATGATGAGACAGAAAAAAAGAGATTAGGTAGAATTTACTTGTCGGGTAATAAGATAGATTACGTCCATTGCAAGTGTAGTGATTGAACGAACTTCTTCTGTATGCTGAGTTCAGGACTTAGCAAGTGAATCGTCATTGCTTCTGCAGTTTGAAGTAGTCTGATTCGCACACCTTTAGGAAGACTACTTCTTACTCTGTAGACGACTTTGAAGTTTGTTTAGGGTGTAGCTTGGTGTCCAGATTCTATCAGATGTTATACGATGGAGCTGTGGGGGCATCGTTTGTCTTCTTTGTAAAAGCATGTTGGTAAGTGTTCGGTGATGCGTTTGCAAAGCGAACGCTGGGTATGGCCGACAAACCTGGCTCCACACGAGCAGATGAAGTAATAGATACACATTGATGAGGTCAGCAGTGGTAGCTTATGCGTCACGTTCACATGAATCACAGGTTTTGTGCAGAAGATTAGTCGTAGTTCAGCTGCGAAGAAGGTCTTCTTAAGTGAGTGCGACAGTCGGTGTTTTGCAGTGTTTCCGCATATATCTCCATTGAATTCAAGGCTCATATAGAGTAGTTTTTTGGGGCGCTACGCATGGACAGATTTTGTGGTCTAGGAATGATAGATTTTGCAATAAATCTTTCCGGATAACAATTCTCGACGAGGATTATCTTGAGACAGTCCAATTCATCTTCTATGGTGTCCGGGGTGAAAATTCTACGAACTCTGTAGCTGAGTGAATGGATCAGGTTCCGTTTGGTGTATAGGGGTATCCAACTGTGAAAGTTAGTAAGCTGTCCGTTCCACGTCGACTTTCCGTTGATAGATCCATCCTGTTCTCATATTGTTAGTTGGACGTCAATAAAGGATAATTTGGAGTTGGACTCTTTCTCCAGAGTGAACTGAATCGCGGGATGGCAGTTGTTTGTGTTTAGGTATGCAGGTGAAATTAAAAAACCATTTAATGAATACACTGATTTTATTGTTAAATGGTTGGAGGCACTCTATACTTTGTGCTTGTTGACTTTCGTCAGCGAGGAGTATTTGCAATTTCGAAGAAACTTATGTCCAACTGAAGTATGCATTTCAGTCCCACAGAAGATCAATCGCGAGACTAAATAGCTCATTAATAACCTCTCCAAGTGTAACGCTGGGTTCGAGTCTACCAACGGACATGAGTTCCTCTAAGATTCCGGAGACTCTTGCTGACCAACAAGCGTGAAACCTAGGTCAAAGGTTTCCTGTTGACTACCTGCAGTCACTTGGTAGGTACGTTTCAGTGTATATCGTGGCGGTGATCCACCTAGCATGGTGACCCCACTCCATATATGACTGATAGAATTCAGTCTGCACTGAACGTAGGACTAGACGTATGACATCACTAACTGCCTAGTGTCTAATGAACGTATAAATTGTTATACTGTAAATCTGAAATGCCTTAAACTAGTTAGCTGTAATAAAATATTTTCTTTTCTATAGTTCCAGGTGAGTTGAATGTTTTCAAGGGGGAGATCTAACACTGTCCAAATATCAGACTCAAAATGATTCATAAACATATACATAAACTAACAACTATTCGACTTAATGTTAACTGGGTAGTGAGCGAAACCTATTGAGTGAAGACTTAACATACTTCAAGTTGACTATCCCCGTGGTAAATCAATCGAATCAAATGTCCACTGAAATTATACTAAGTTTGATTGTGACACAATGTTGAGAATAGTGAAGATAAAGGAATGGAACTTTGGCCAGTCTTATTTCCATGGAAAAAATATGGTTAATGCATAGAGCTGAATTAAAAAGTCTGTAGCACAAGAACAAAAATTAGTTTTAAGTAGTGCTAAAATCACAAAACTATTTCATAACAGAATTGAATCATCAAATTGTATACCTGGTTCTCGACGATGTTTTATGCACATTTTGTACTCAGTAAAAAAGGCCCTTTAGCACGTATATGGTTAGCAGCTCATTGGGATAAAAAGCTCACCAGAGCACATGTTTTTGAGACCAATATTAGTTCTAGTGTTGAAGCTATTTTAGAGCCAAAGTTAAAAATGGCTCTGAGAACTTCTGGACACTTGTTATTGGGTGTAGTGAGAATTTATTCTCGTAAAGCTAAATACTTACTGGCGGACTGCAATGAAGCTTTTGTTAAAATCAAGATGGCATTTCGACCTGGTGTTGTTGATTTACCTGATGAAGCGAATCGTGAAGCTGCGATAGCAGCCATTACTCTACGGAAAACATTCATGATTTTGAAGCTACAATAGCTGACCTTAATGAAATCAACATGAACACCATAGCTATTAATCAGAGTCGTCCTGAAGATATAACTATGCGGGAAGACTTCGGTGAAATTAATCTTGGGAGACAGGATGATGATTTTGGAGATTCTGTGTTTGACGAAGTGTCGAGCCGTGAAATTATTCGAGATGCTGACAAAACTTTTGGGGATAGTATATATCGTGGCAGCGATCATTTGTCAATGCATCATGATACTGACTTTACTTTAAATCCCGATCAAGATCTGGATGCCACTTTAATCGATGTTAAACGAGGAGGAGGCAGACTGTCAGATAGCGAAAAACCAGTTAAGTCTATTGATTCTGCTGCTCACCATGATGATATCGGAATCGGTGATAATGAATTTGATGATGACTTCTTGGGTGAGTTCTTTCTCACTACCTTCTGTTCAAGTCTCTTCAGATGTTGTGGACGTGCTTCATAAATCAATTCTACCTCGCACAGCAATGTCCAACTTTCTTAAGTCATATAAACCTAGTACGTAATATGCGGTTACCGTAGAATGCGGTTAATACCTGGGTGCAGTTGTGAAATTGCACTGGAAAACCAACGTGAATCATATAATATCAATTTAGGTTAGGGAGATAACTTTCGGTCTTTCAACACCTTAAGTCCGTATTTCATGTGCGTCGGTGGCACAGTGGTTAGGACTCTTGCCGACCATGCACATGGTCCCGGGGTTCAAACCCGCACCGACGCACACCTGATATCTATGGTCGGCCTGCGAAATTTGGGCTACCGATATCCACGCTGAAAATTCCATACTTGTACCGAAAATACAGTGTGGAATCAAGCTGTAAATAAATAAAAAAAAAATAAAATAAAGATGAGAAGGTTTAGATTAAGATTACGCAACACAAAAAATGATCACAAAGTATTCGGCGTGAATGAAAGAGAGTGGAGACAAGGGAAAAGATAAATCACGTTGAAGGTGTACAGATTGAACAGAAGGCTAGTTAAGAAAATGATGACTGTGTGAATAAATATCACACAAAATGTGTGCAAAAATACTAATAATACCAATATATTGATGACAGTTGAACTTGGAATTACACTCAAGGAAGAAGGTTGAAGGATAGAGGAGTTCTCTTTATGTAAATAAATCAGGGATTTCCTGACGAATCAGTAAGTCATCAGCAGTGCAAACAAAGTATGTGGAGGACTACCGTCCTCAGGAGGTTTCTTCTGACTTTGTGGACAACTTTGAATGTAGTCTCTTGCATTCTGAGTCGTCAGTTTACAAAAAAAAATGTTCTGTTTTCGCACACCATAATGATTCACTGTGGTTTTTTCGTAGCCAAGTGGGATAATGTTTCTTGACTATTTCAGAGAAAACATGCATTGAACAACCTTTGCATCTCGTTGCTCTGGAGCAAGTGAACTGGTTGACATATAGGGAGATGGTTAAATGCAATTGTAGATGTGCCTGTACAGCTAACTGAATGAATTCACCAGATCGAGACTCTTCAATGAACAGTTTGCTTATGGATATAATTTGAAATGAATTTTCACTTAGTTATCAGACTACTATCTTTCTTATCTATATATCCTAGGAACCGCGAACGCGTATGCATAGGAAATACGCATCTACTATTTCAGGACTACATAAACTCAAGAATAACATGAGGTTTCTTTTTGTGACATATTAATACTCGGCCAATTGAGAGAATCCCACGGTAATATTATCCTGGTCACAGAGAAATCACAAGGAATCAGAATAGAGTGCTTTAACAAAACATTTGTTTAAAACTGACCACTCAGAATGCAGGAAGAATATATTCAAAGTTGTCCACAAAGTCAGAAGAAGCCTCCTGAAGACGGTGTGCCTCCACATACTATGTTTGAAGTGCTGGTGCCTTACTGATTCATCTGTGAATTCTAAATTCATCTAAATAAAAGAACTTCTTCTCCCCCTGACCTCCTTCCTTGGGTATAATTCCAGGTTCGACTGTCGTCAATATATTGGTATTATTACTATTTTTGCACACATTTTGTATGACATTTATAATCACAATTCTCCTAACTAGCCTTCTATTTACTCTTGCACATACAACGTGATTTATTTTGTCACTTGTATCCACGCTGAATATTTTCGACCGTTTTTCATGTTATGTAATCTTAGTCTAGATCTATTAATCTTCATGTCTCGTAGTTGAATAAATCTTTACACAAAGATCTTAATTTGTGCATACATTAGATTATTCCTGACAGGTGAAATTTACATGCTATACTCCACCGAAGTTTCTCTTCTGGTTTCATCAATAAGCTATTTTTCTGGCGAATAAGCAATAATTTTCCTAGAAAATACGAATGAAGGCAACCTAGTATAAATCGTTTTCATTGTTTATTGTTCAGTTTTGATTTTCTCTTTGATTGATTGGACCTAAATATCCGACATTTGTTGATCTGTTGGTTAGTAGTATGAAAGCTTCAATGGTGTCTGATGATTAACTTCGAATAATTTTTAATCATTGGTTTGTGGGGATTTGGTTGATTCGTTAAAGAATTCCATCATTAACTGACATTGGTTAGAGGTCCACTGGAAGACCTGGTAGTTTGGGACCCTTCAGCAGTACGCACCCTCACTGTGGGATTCAAATCAAGGACCATCTAGCTGCAAGGCAAGGTCATGAAAAAGTCGTGATCAGTAGAGTAAAGCAGGCCGGGTGTGAGCAATAATACTCGCTGAAGACATTGGCTAGTGGTCGCACTATGTCGTAAAGTGGCAGAAGTTTGATTTCGTGGGCCATTGATTCGAGTCCCAGTGGCTTAATGGTTTACAAGCTAGCTCGCCTTGTAACGAGAAGGTATTGGATTCGAACTTTGCCGGTGAGTACGTACTGACGAAGAGTCCTAAATTAGGACAAAGCAGCTTCCCATTACTCCCCGGTTGGTTTCCCAATAGCTCTCCAATCGAAGTCAGCTCATGAATAAATCCTTTAACAGTTCGAATAGTTTAGTGAATGGCTGTTAGCAATGGAATGCAGGACACTCATTTAATCCCTTTTGCGAAGAGTTATCCGGATGAAACCCTGAACACTGTGTTTGAGTCTCATTGGAAACACTTTCACTTACTTGAGGAGGCAGGTACTTCCAGATAAAGGGTCCTAAATAGGACGAAATGCACAACATTCACAAAATTACATCTATTTTACCTTCAACGCTTCATTAGGAAAGATTTTACCGAAGTAATTGGCTTATAGGAAGCTTTGTATGCCTAACTTTATACCAGATGTTACTCGTGAGTAATATAAGTTATATTCCGTTTACTATTTCACTTCCTTGTAACCTTGATTACTGATTCCCAGAGACAACATCAACAATTTATTTGTTCTGTAGTAATTACTCGCTTATCATTAGATAATATCTGCTGTAAATGTTCTCTCTGTGTTCCAATTACAGCTAAACAATTTTTTCATTCGTATCGCTGCATTTCTGCTCTGCATATTAGCAAGTTGTCTGTTATTGACCATGGGTCCGTTTTGATGCAGTTCTGCTACTTTTATTGTTAATACAAAGTGTTAAAGTGCTTTTGACAGCATTCAGCCCAAACACTTCACAACTTAAGGTTTGTACATTCGATTCATTATTTTTTCTTAGATGTAATATGGTAGAGTATTTTAGATAAATCCTGTCTTTCGCATTTTTTAGACATAATAACTCAGTCGTCTGGTTTATTTAAGTGGAAGTTCGATAGAGGACTATCGTCCTCCATATTTGCATTTAAGCGATATACATGTAAAGCAGCAAGGGAAGTGGGGGGCAAGAAAATCACATTCTGTCGTATATACACCTTTGTTCCCTATGACACTACTACTATAATTCAAGCTATGAATAATATACGTCTAGTTTTCGACCACACGTTATTACCGACCGATACTGATCTGTACTACGAGTGATTAAGAAAATTCAATGATCTATTCTTTGCACATTTTCAGTGTACCTTTAGCTAAATCATTCAAGAGGACACGCAGAAAACCTTTGTTTGACTACCTAAGCATTTTAATATCTAGCCATTTATTTACCGTTGGATTAATCCATGTTAATCGGTCGTTTAGTGGGGGAATGTTGATGATATAAGATGGTTGAAGAAGGCAACTGGCTGGAAGCCTTGGACCTAGCCCTCACGCTATTTGGCACTCAACAATCAGCAAAGCGTATCTGCGACCATGAAATAATTCATATTTCTTCTTAGATTCGAACCCACGCCACTCAGTACTTCAGTCATAGACGTCCCATAGAGCTATTCGGGCTCGCAGTCGGCCCCCTGTAGGTCTGTAGTGGATACCTAGAAGAGTTGCTACAATGCAGTTGTGACTGATAGAGTTCAGTTTGCACCAAAGAAAGGACTGGACACATCACACTATTTACTAGTGTCCAATCAAATGAAGAATGTTGGTTATACATGCATGAGTCCTGGGGTTTGATCTTCAGTCGGCACTCACCAGTACCCCTCTTATCCGGATGTATACCCTATACAGAGAAAAGTCTGACGTGAAGCTCGCAACCCTCTCACGTTAGGAAAACGACAACGCTGATAATGAAGCCTGGAAGCTCATGATTGAATCTCAAGGTTCCACTGGGAATGCATAGTACTGAGAAGAAGACAGAGAATAAGGAGAATAATGTGTTAAATTTTTGAATAATTCATATAAACTCAATGTCATTATATGTCATTTGTAAAGCATATCTACTCTAATGGATTAAAATACTCGACAACCGAATCACCATCAAAAGTGGATGGATTTCAGGAATGTCTTGATAACACTCTTGAGGACACGACTGTAAAGTAATTGTTCGATCAAAATCAAGACGTTTTCCAAAGAATGTAAATTTTTGCTTATGTCAACTTGTGGTAATCATTCGAGTAAACATTGAAAGGCTGGCCAAAATGGAACTCTTCATGTGACAGTTTTGGAGATCATATAAATGTCATTTACCATCGTAATCAATTCAGTAATCCGTCTCTTCCTCTAATTTGCACGCATCCTAAAAAATGAATGTAAGGAAGGAATATTGTTATTATCCTCTTGGTTACCAGGTGAAAAATGCAGATCCAACGGTATATCATCATATTATCATGTCACCTTAAGTACTCTTTAACTGGTTCTGCGACTGCTCATCAGTTCTTTTCTCACCTATACATTGCATCCTCTACGTCTCAGTCGGATGGGCAAATTGGCGTTTCCAATTCGGACTCCACTTGCGGCATATGACGACATTCAACAGTCTTCTTCGCGTGTGTCTGATTCGCCTCCATTTGCTTCAGCATATTTATTAGGCAGTAGGTTCTTGGTTGTTTCATTCCAAGAGTTATCTGTTGCTAATCCACTCTGGTATACCAACCATCTGATCTTCAGTGTGGAGGTATCTAAGGCAGCTGACGATAAAAGTCTGAAGCCATTTAGAAATGAACATTTCAAG